AGGTCCACAGGTCCCACCAGGAGTCTGCTCCGGAGCGGGCTTCCCACAGGCATCCTTCAGGCATCCAGCTTGCCTGGCATGGGGTCCCCCACAGGCTGCAGGTGGGGATCTGCTCCACCATTAACATCCACGGGCTGCAGAAGGACAGCCTGCCTCACCATGGTCTTCACCACGGACTGCAGGGGAATCTCTGCTCCAGTGCCTGGAGCACTTCCTCCTCCTCCTTCTTCAGTGACCTTGGTGTCTGCAGAGTTGTTTCTCTCACATTTCACTCCTCTCTCCACTGCTGGTTTTTATTCCCCTCTTCTTAAATATGTCATCACAGAGGCACTGCTGCCATCGCTGATGGGCTCAGCTTTGACCAGATGAGTCTTGGAGCTGACTGGCATTGGCTCTGACACAGGGGAAGCTTCTAGCAGCTTCTCACAGAAGCCACCCCTGCTACCAAAACATTGCCACACAAACCCAATACAAATTCCCATTTCTCTCTTTGTGCATAGGGTGAACGCTGCCTACGAAGCACCTACCTATGAGGAAGTGATGACCATGTCAGTTCCAGCAATTTGGACAATTGCATCCAATCCAGGCTTAGTGCCTTCACCAATGAATGAGCCTCCTCCTTACAACGTAGTTATTGAATCATCTGCCCAAGAAGAGATTGTGGTGGAGGCTCTCAGGGTGTCAGTGGCGTCAGACACAAGGCACACCTCTGAGACAGACACAGGCTCCAGGATGCAGTTGCAGCTGGTGCTTCCCCCTAGACTGCAGCGGTTTGTTTCAGACATCCATGAAGTGAAAGGTGTTGAAGACAGGTTTGAGCCACCGGAGCCACTCACTCCACCACCTGCTTATGAAAGTGCCATCAACGATGAGGTCTTTGAAGATACTTTCCAGCCCTCCACATTATGATTAATTTCAACTTCCATGAATGCAGAACCAAACCCTCACTCCAATACAGGATGCTCCTCAAGGGAAGGTGAAAGATCTGAGATTTTTCATGCCCAAAACTGTAAAAGTTTGTCTCACCATTCTTTGAACCAGAGATGAACCGCAGACACAGCTTCTGATCTCACTAGAATCTTTTTGCACATAATAAAAGTCAATGCAATACCACAATGCTTTGTCCTGGCAGATGTGTAAAACCACTGTGAGGAAAGTTGTGTTATATGCAGCAAGAATTCCCAAATGGGAGATACACCTTTATGGGGGCGGAGAGTGACTCATGAGAAGAGACCTTGTTGCCAATGGACCTCTGTAAAAGGACTGTAGGATGCAGCCAAGCAAAGCTGCCTCAGAAAGGGGAGGAATAGAAACAGCACTAAGTAGGTTCTGCCTGTGCATTGCAAACAGCAGTATTGCTGAGAGCTGTGCAATCATCGGCCACCCTAAAATCCCTATTGAGAGACTAAGGCTGCAGTTCCCTGAGCTGCTGTTTTGCAGCAACAGAAATTTATGGTCTGCACTGTTTGTTGCTAGACCTCTGCTGCACTTTCTCCATGTCCCCAGCCATGCTGCACCAGAGCATGACTGACAGGAGGATGGCTATCTTCACCCAGAAGCTGGCACCACCTGAGACCCCTCACTTGGGGTTGAAAAATTGATGCAAGCAAAGCACCATGAAATTACTTCTGTTGTTCACAAGGCTCTCACCCCACACGGCCTCCAGGTGGTGGAAAGAGGAAGATAATGGCAGTTTTTCTCCTTTAAGACACGCCAGCAGTGGGATACATACACGTATATGTATCCTCTGCCTGTACCACCAGTCTTCACAGCTCTCCAAGGTGTATTTTTCTGCTGTACTACAGCCCCAGATTGCTTGAGATACTTTATAATCATCATGGCAAGCATCTGCACAGAAAGATCAACGCTCCTCCAGTTCCCTGTAACAACACTGTGCACGGAGGCTTCTCTCTGGACTCTGGAAAGGTCCAGTCTGTCTGACAATGCCACAGCTACAGCAGAGAGCACCTGAAAATAGCACTCCAGAGGTACACATGGTCTTCATCATGACAGCTCTAGGTTGGAGCTAGGTTCTAGCTCTCATTTGTCAGTGATGCTGTGCAGTCTTTTAAAATGGGTGAGTTACACTGATGGGCTCTGCAGCATTAAAATGGTCTGCAGTATGCAAAGAGATATTAATGTCTGGTGAATGTCCAAATAATAAAAAAAATACTATCTGAATTCCCTATGAAGGACAGCAGCAATTATCACAGCTGATGATAATTTTTAATTCATATGAGGAAACATCCAACCATAGGCTAGAAACAAATAAATTATTATTGTTTGATTCTTTAAGTATGTTGTTTATAAATAAATGAGACTGCACTAAAAATACTTTGTGGTGTCATTAGTTTTTCTTCCCAAAACAAATACTCCACAAAACATGCTTTTGCTTGCATTCTGCTTATTTGATAAGCTTGGCCTAGAAAAAGGAGAGGAGTTCCATTTCTAAATCTACAACTGAATTACTTTAATATTATTAATGATGAAGCAGCTATGATACCTCTATTGTAAAAGTATTACGAGAGACAAATTTGCTTACAGAGGCAATGTGATTTTTCTAAAGCCAGTAATTTCTTGCATCTCTCTCCTGGAGCTGCAAACACAAAAGAACAAACCACCATAAAAAGCAGTACAGGTGTAGCACACAGAAATAGAAACTTTTTTAAAAGAGTCTAAGCTGGGCAACCCAGGACCTTTCTGAGTGCACAAAACTGCCAGGAGTCAGGAATCACTTCAGGTGACCAGCACAGAAAAAAACCTAGCCAAAACAAAGAGAAAAAAGTGTCACCAGCTAGGATTGCTAGGATCATGCAGAACTCTGTGCACCAATGAACAACTCTCAGAAGCCTTACATGACAAAAGCTGTCAATTTGCTTCTGCTAAAAGGATGCTCACTTTCTTTTCATATTTCACGTATACCCTGTGTGATCCCTTTCAATTACTGAACGTTACTTCAGCCTTTTTTAATTTCAGTTGATTTCAGCATAAGTAACAAAAAACTATAAAAATTTAAAAATGTCCCAGAACAGGTAAACTCGCAAGGAAAGCTGCGTTTACCTGTGTATTCTACGCATATGCAGAACCCCTCCTACGACCCTGATGTGCGAGATTACACTCCTCTCTCCCAGGACTCCGGCCTGTGTGTCTCTCACTGCACCCCAGGGCCCAGGCGGGGCGGGGCTGTCACACGCTGACC